TGGAGTCATGCGCAGCCTTCCATGCGTTTATCATTCTAGATGCCACCTTCAGCACTTCAGCCGCTTCCATCTGCTTTCCCTCCCAAACAATCCCATTACGTCACTTCCAGATACTCCAAATTAGCGCCAGGAAAAGCCCGCCCTGCTCACCATTCTGTGTGGTAATATGGCTTCGGAACCATTCTTCAAAAACGGCCTGATTATCCCCCACGTCAACCCCCGTCTTATGCCAAATTTCCATGACCTTCGGACACCTTTGTAATGCATGAACTGTGTTTTCTTCCCCTGCTCCACATAATTTACATCCCTCCGGGATATTAACCCCCCAGCCTCCCATAGTCTACTCCACGCGTTCCAATCACTCGTTTGCTCCCCTCTCGGAATTCTATAACAACTCTTAACAGAATAAATACCACTTCTTTCTCCCACCCACCAATAATTATCCTTCCTATCAACCAGACTGATAGGAATACTAAGAATGTGATTCCTATCTTCCTGACCGAACCAATTATTATTCGCTCATGCCTCCAATTTATCCCTGTATTATCCCGAAGAGCAGCCACATTCATATCTCTTATCCCCTCTGGTCTATCAGAAATAATTCGCCCATTATCCCCCGGTAACCAGCAGCCTGCCCAATATTGTGTATCAATCCCATTCCCAACTCTTCTCCGGACATTATTTTTTAACACTTCTTGAGTTTCAAAAATACTTTTCCAAATAAAAGATGGATTGTTGCCTAGTTTAGCATGTAGAAAGTCAGAAGAGGGAAAATACCTTGCCTTCAAGACACGATGCAATGATGCATCAGACTACCTTCCTCAGTGATCAACCTCCACCCCTGTTTAGCCAACATTGCTAAATTAAATTCCCGGATCCTCCTGAAACCCAAACCTCCGGCTTCCTTTGGTTTACAAAGAGCCTCCCACCTTCTCCATCTCAGCCCTTTTTGGTCGAATTTTGAGCCTTTCCACCAAAACCCATTCATTAATTTTTCTATTTCATCACATAAGTCCTTTGGCAAAAGAAAAACATTCATAGCATAATTTGGAAGAGATTGAACCACATTACGGAGTAAAACCGCACGCCCTGCACAAGAAGAAAGCGGTTATTCCAGGATTTTATTCTGTTGACAATTCTTTCCTTTAGATATCTCAGAATAACTGATTTATTTTTCCCCGCTAGTGCCGGTAACCCCAAATACATGCTTAGATTGCAAAAGTCTCTAAATTGTTCTCCAACATTCTAGTTAAATGTCAAAGAAGATTTATTAAAACCAGCTGCCCCGAAATAGCCGCATATTTCAGTAAAATGCGCTGAACCTCCTCACACTCGGCACCTAGCTTTAAAAAACAGAAAACTGTCATCAGCAAACAACAAATGTGATACTCGCGGCGCTCCTCTACACACCGCCACCCCATGCAGCTCCCCTCTCTGTTCAGCACGTCTTATAAGTGCACTAAGCCCTTATGCAATTAAGATGAATAAATAAGGAGACAATGGATCACCTTGCCTTAACCCCCTCTTCGGTTCGATCGGCCCCAAGTAATTATTATCAAACTGAACATAATACTTTACAGTGGTAACACACTGCATAATCAAGTTAATCCACCTCCTATTGAATCCCATCCTCTGCATGATTGTCTGTAAAAATTCCCAACTCACTCTATCATAAGCTTTGCTCATATCTAACTTTAAGGCCACATACCCATCTTTCCCCGAATTCTTCCTCTTCAAATAGTGCTGAGTCTCAAAGGCAACTATAATATTATCAATAATAGACCGTCTGGGAATAAAAGCACTTTGACATTCGTCCACCGAATCCCCCCAAAAGAGCTTCAACCGATTTGCAAGAATTTTTGAAAAAAATTTGTAGACCACATTACACAAAGCTATCGGTCTCCAGTCCTCCATTCCTTCTAGTTTATCAATCTTCGTTATCAACACAATATTAGTAATATTAATTTCACTTGGGATAATCCCACTTTCAAAAATACCTGAACATATCCGAACAACTTCCGGGCCCACAATGTCCCCGAATTTCTGGAAGAAAGCGGGGTTCATCCCATCTGCTCCTGGTGCCTTATCCGGATGGATATAAAAAATGGCTTCCCGAACCTCCTCTGGATTAACTGGCTGAAGAAGCTTCTCGTTCTGCTCCGATGAGATTTCCTTAAAATTCCCCATATCGGTCCACTGTTGATCTGACCCTGGTTCCTGAAAAATATTAATAAAATATTCCCGAACTGTATCCTCCATCTGACCCCTGTCCGTAATCCATGAACCATCCTCCAATCGAAGTCCCTGAATTTTATTCCTCCTTCTTTGTTTCACAGCATTATGAAAAAATCTGGAGTTCATTTCTCCTTCTTTCAGCCAAAATTCCTTAGCTCTTTGTTTCCAATAAAGATTCTCCTTCTCCATGAGCGAATATATGATCGTCTGTAGCCTAGTAAAATCGGCCACACTTCCAGCATCATATTTACCTCGAAGCCAAGAAAGTCTCTTTTTACAAGCAACAATACGGTTACGGAATCCTTCCGGCCTTCTATTGTCCCTTCGAAGGAGCTCTCTCCCACAGAAAGTGATCTTTTCATTAACCGTCATATAATCTCCAGCACTTGAACTGTTAGTTATAATCGTTCTACATTCTTCCTCCTTTAACCATATGTTCTCGAATTTAAAACGTCGAGGCTTCCGGCTGTGGAGTGTAGGATTAAAACGAATCAATAGTATGTTCGAGCTTCCATAAATTGGCTCCACCAATCATCATTGACCAAGATCCGGTCAAGTTTAACCTCAACCCAGTAGTCTGTTCCTTTTCCTCTCTCCCAGGTCCACTGAAAACCTTCAAATGGAAAATCTCTTAGCCCATTATTAAATACAGCATCTCGGAAACCACGTAGTCTCCAGAGGGGTTGCTGTACTGGCCCTCTTTTCTCAGATTCATACAATATATCATTAAAGTCTCCAATCAAAAGCCATGGTGAAGAGTTGTTCTCTGCCAAGTCCTTCAACATCTGCCATGCCTCCCTTCGTCGACATGTATCCGAGAATGCATAATAACAAGTTAACCTCCACTCCTGCTCCTCGGTTGCAATCCGGACGGAGCAATCAAAGAAATTTTGGCTAGCCGAGTTTACGTTCAACTCCAATTCATCATTCCAGCCAATCGCAATACCGTCGCTTGCTCCAACACTGTCAACTGCCTGTGTATAGGTGAATCCCTGTCGCCGCAGTATATCCATCATCCTACCTCCATCGACTTTCGTCTCCATCAAAAACAGAAGCGATGGCCGATTTCTTTGAACTAAGTCGGTCACCCCCTGAATAGTGGCTAGATTACCCAAACCCCGTCAATTCCAACTCATAATACTCATCTTGCCTTACAATAAATCAGATTCGCACCAAAGTGTCGGACACTCCGCCGCCAAGGACGTCGCCGAAATAAACCTAGGGAATTCCTAGGAGACGACCGCTTTTTTTTTCTGAGGCTAATTGGGAAAAGTATATTCTCAAAGAGTATATTCTGATTTATTGGTACTTTTGTACCGGCCTTTGTACTTTGTGTACTAGAATGGTTGGGCAAATCATACAAACAACCCTGGTAGCTGCAACCGTTTTGTGTGTCATCAACCCTGATGACAACTGTTGTTAAGTGATGTAGCCATTGTGCCATTCATTACTCCCACGCTGAAATGTTTATTCCATAACGTAAATCTGAGACCTAGAGCTCGACTTATCCTGGGTGTGGAAATGCCTAGCTCAAATATGCACTTTAAGCTCAAGGATTGGGAAGCTCGGCTTAAGTGACTAGTGAGGTTATCTTTGATGTGCTTGAGTATTTGAGCCAGTTTTGACCCTGAGCGTGGCCGCTGTGCCAGATTAGGTCTTGACCTCAGTCATGGCCGACATCAGCCTCGCCTGCAGTTTTGGGCTCATCTCGATGATTTGAAAGTTGGTTTGGTACTGGGCCTTGGCGGGCTTGGTCTCGGCCGAATTTGTCTTAACCGTTTGTGGAGGTTCCTTTGCATAAGTCTTCTACCCTTGAGGTGTATGACAATATTCTCCATCACATAGCATTCTTCCGAAAAAGGACCGGCCCTACGTTTAGTTTTCCCTAACTAGGACTAATCATAAATTTTCTACCCTTAAATTAATTAATTAATGATTAACCTAATTAATTGATCACTAGTTAACTTGCATAACCAATGTCAGTCCATTAGTGACATCAACGTCAAGTCGACAATAGCGAATTCCGACAGCAGTAGCAGAAGTCGATCAGGGGAAATCAACCCGCCGAGGAATGATGTAAGCATGTGTGGAAATTGCTCAAGGGAAAGTCAACCAAGGTTCTAGCAACATCGTCGACCTACGGGGGTCATCCTCATCGATCTAAAACTAGTAGGTCCTGTTTTTTGAAAAAATGCTATGTATGTTTGGTCTTGTTTGGATAAAAATCCCCATCTTCACACCACTCGCTTATCTTGTCTCCAATATTTGTCTCTGACAACAATTCAATTGTATACATATAAGCATATATTTTGATTGATTCATACTAAGATTAATCTTACCTCATATTTACTTTACATAATGAACTAACATATACAATACAAATTAGATCTATTATTTTTAGTGAGTTGTAAAAATAAATTTGAATGTGACTAAAATATAGTATACATAAGTCAGAATATAGTTTAAAATTGAATATAAACTATAATGAGAAGTTGTATTCTCAATATATTTGTGACTAATATGAATCAATCTATATTCTGATTCATGTCATGTCTCTAAAAAAATCATTATTTTAATTATAAATATATAATTACTCCATATTTCATAACTTTTTTGAAAATCATTTTATTATTATTTTAATTATAAATGTGTAATTACTCCATATGTAATTAATTTTTTAATTATTTTATACGGAGTAAATACGTATTAAAAAAGCACTTTCAACTTGGCCAAACATGCGATTAATTTTTTCTCCTTTCTTCATACGCTACCATAAAAACAAAATATAGCAGCAAGCAGAGCGTACGCTATACAGCCACCGTTACCATTCTTTATTGCTTCACCGATCAGTGAATTTCATTGAGAATCGCGGGCAGTCAGATCTAAAGAACTAGGTATACGTAATTAACCAAAGCAATTAACCAAAGCAAGAAACGCATAATCGCCGCAAAGAGGTGATCTTGTACTCTTGGTCTGCAATTTGCAAAATAAATAATCTGCCCATTCAGTGTTTTTCCTGGTTTTTGTTATATTAAATACATACGGAATGCTTTCTCTTTTTCTTTTGCTGAAATGCCAATGGATATTGACATAATGGCCGCCCATTACTGCTCCTAAATTGGTGCTTCTTTAGTTCTTTTGTTTGAAATATAATTGATGGTGCTTCATTACATCTAATTTATTTATGTATAGTTGGACTCTTTTTTTAATATTGATTCATAACTTTGATCATTATTCACTGGAATATCCGTTTATGCTTCTTAGATGTCTATCACATTATTTGGACCTTTCATGTTCCTTGCAATAAAGATCTTCAAAATAAGAGTCAGTGAAGTTTTACTACCTGCACTTGGTTCTGTTATAAAATAAGTAGTACTCCGTAATAAACTACTTCCTCCGCCGCCCCATGTAACATTGAGCATGAGGAGTGGCATGCTTATTAAGAATGATTTAGAACCACTCAAACTTTACATATATGGTAAGGAACAATCTTAGTAGGACGGACCGAAAAGGAAAGATGAGACAATCTTAGCGGGACGGAGGGAGTAATATATAAAATGATGTAAAGCATCATCGCAGATGTCTACTGTCCGTATATGTTAACCTTCACAGAATCACATGAAACCCAAAGTCTTAAAATGCTGGAGTAACAAATTTTGGAGTAATATACCATGTATAAGATTGTGGATTGCCTTTATCACCAAAATGTTAATGTATTCAGTTTTGATCCAATTTAGAGTCTTAATATTCTTATATAAGAACGTCAACTGTATTGCGTTTTGGTCCAGTTTAGAGAAGTGTTTGCCGATTTTATGCAGTTTACACCCTGTGAGTTAATCGCCGGTTGACATACCTTTGGCATATTTCTTGCAGAGAATACACATTTGCAGGAATTGCAGGCAGGATTTCTTTTACTCATTCAGAATGGTGATCTTCTAACTTTAGTAGACTTTACTCATTCCCTTTTTTTACAATCAGATTGGCATTTCATTTGTATAGCTGCTGCCTGCATTGTGGCTTTGTGGTACAAGCCTGCAAAAAACATCATTTCACTCATTTACCTCTTGTTTATCATTGGCTTGTTCACATAGGCAACAAATGAAAATCTCCCACCAAATGTGATAAAACAATTAGCAAAGGAATTGAGAAATCTCGATGAAACTCCACCTGAAGGCATTGAAGTGAGTGTAAATGATGACGACCTCTCCACGATATATGCTGATATAGAAGGGCCAGGTACCATTCCTATCTACCCGCCGTTAAAAAGTGTTACTATTATTATCAGTCTTTAGGTAAAAAAATCTTAGTCGTTTTTCACCTGCATTGAAGTTGGAACTCCATACGAGAATGGTGTCTTCCGAATGAAGCTGATATTATCTCATGATTTCCCCCATTCACCTCCTAAAGGTTTGTCCTCTCAAACGCATAATAATTTTATGTTGAAAGTTTTCGATTTGTCTTCACCTTTTTGTATCATGTATTTACTTCCTTTCTTTCTCTCAATTAGGATTTTTCTTGACCAAAATCTTTCACCCGAATATCTCAACCAATGGTGAAATATGTGTGAATGCACTGAAAAGGGATTGGAGTCCAAGTCTTGGCTTAAGGCATGTGCTAATGGTAAGTCTTATTTACCCAGAGTATTTGTTAAGTCTGTATTTACCATTGCCTAATATGTACGGTGTTTAATCTGGGTATCAACAGGTGGTTAGATGTTTATTGATAGAACCATTTCCAGAGTCGGCTTTAAATGAACAGGCGGGGAAGATGCTCCTAGATCACTATGATGAATATGCTAGACATGCAAGGTCAGGACTCAGGAGCATTTCAATCATTTTACCAGACTTCTTTTTCTAACCAATTTACTTGTTCTGTTATGATGTTGTATAAAGTTTGTAATATCTAGGATTAGAAAAGGGCATTCATTGCCAATGCTGAAGCTCCTATGCAATTTCCTTTGGGAGAGTGTGTATGGGAAAGGATAATCTAGGCCAACTTTCCCTTGTTTTTGCAAGGAGATAACTTGAACCCTGGACTGCCAGGACACAATGGAGAAACCCCATCAATGCCTGGTGTTGGAAATTGTCCCAGTTACAGACCAGGACCAACCGGTTCCTTAATTGCAAACCGTTTGACAAGCCCTAACCCGAAACACCTAACTTGTTACTTCCTGATCTGGCTCTGGTTCTCCTTCTAAATAGAACTGGACTGCGGCTGATTCCAATCTTATTGTCTTAAGTTATAAAATCAGGCAGGACCAGATCGGAACCGGATATAGTGTCAATTTTAGCAAACCCGAAACTGGACCGGTATTGCTAGTTCTGGTTACTGTTCCTATGTTAATGAGGTGGTTCCACCCCTACCAATGTTCCTGGCCCCAATATGTCATTTAAGGATAAATGCAAAAGGAGAAGACAAAAAAAAGGCAAGAGTATACCTAAGTTACTTTAAGGCCTTAAGGTAACTCGTTAGATATTCTTATGTGTTGCAAAAAGAAGAAATGAAAAATGACAAGAATGTACCTAAGTCACCTTAAGGCCTTAAATATTACCTCACCGTAGAGTTATTAAAATGCACTTTGTTCCTTATCTGAGAATTCATATGGGGAAGAATGCCAAAAATTGTAATAGCAAAGAGCAACTATTTGTAATATTCAACGCGAAGTGGAAGAAAGTTCATCAAATCGGCTTTGGTTTCTTTAATGACTTCTGTATTGCTACTACTGATTCTGAATCTCAGGCTTTATACTGGAATTCATGCTTTGAAGCCAAAGCCCAAGGTTAAAGCAGGGACTATTTCGGAGTCAACGATCACTCTGAATGTTATTGATCAACAAACTAACACCTGCTCAATAGACAGTGTTAAGCCGAAGAGTTGTAATCCTCTCCAACACCGGTCACTGATCAATACGAAAGGAGGGACGGGTCATCTAGATCACCCATCCATACCTTTGCATCCTAGCCCCATAGCACTTGTGCAGAAGGAAAGTGGTTTGAGAAGAGTACATGTGCATTCTATAAAAAAGAAAATAGATGCGAGAAAGAAAAGCTTAAGGAGATTGTAATCTGTTCGAACAAATGTAGTGACCTTTGCCCCCTGGGTGTTAAATTCATAGCTTGGGGAAAGAACAAGGGAAAAAGGACATCAATATATTGTTGACTTCCTTTTTATGTGAAGTCTCTTTGGCTAAATCATATCTCCTTTTATTCATCATACCCCATAATTGTTCCCAGCTTACTGTTTGTTACTATTATACAGAGTATTAAGTCGTAAATCACTATTTTTTTTAATAAAAATTAGATCTATTTTTAGAATATGCAAGTTTTATTTGCATATATTAACTTTAACACTAGAAAGGTGCATTTTAAATGGTTTCAAGTTCATGAGTATGATATTGTGAAATGCAACTCTCATTCCTATTATAAATGCATTAAAAGGTTACAACAATACTATATTTATCTCTACAACTCGGGCAAACTACACAAAGTGAATTGGGTCGAAAGCAATTAGTGTTGGGGTTTCAACATTCCCCTCAAATTAGAGCATATAAAGCATATGTACCAAACGTGTAACAAATGTATTCTATTCTAAGATCTCTAAGATATTTTGCTAAAACATTTACAACCTGATCTCTCACGCTGACATAATTTGTGATAATTTATTCATTCAAAGTCTTCTCTTAAATGAAGTGATAATCACCTCAACATGTTTTGCTCTCGTGAAGTACAAGGTTAGATGTGCTGTGCATTGGAGCTTGGTCATCTCACATGAGTAGCATTGGTTTCATGCTATCAGTTCGCCTCCGCTTCAACACTTGATCTCGTAACAACATGTTGTTTCTTAGCTTACTCTTCCATAAAATCAAGTTTCCACTGATTGAGATACTTCGTACAATATACTCTTGTATACAAATAGAACATTTATCCGTTGGACATTCAGCCCAACCTGTACCATAGAGTAATTCTTGACTTGATGTTATTATTTTCCATGGTTTTCATAGAGTAATTCTTGACTTGATGTTTTCTATATGTATATCAAGACTCGGGTAGTTGAATCCCATTGGCCATCACATGTTTTCTATAAAATGACTAAGCACATTTACAAGGAAAGATATATTCGCTCTCGTAATCGTGACATAGTTTGGTTTTCTAGTGTCTTATGTATCGCTCTTGAGTGAAGGTACTTCAAAAGTCCCGACTTGCGTTGCAAATATGGATAAGTAGGAATGTTTTCTGCCCTTCACCGGCTCACCGCACATCGTCGATCACTCTGTTACTGATTCGGCGATACACTGCCGCGTGTGGTCTGCCCGCTGACCGCCTCCGAGACATATTCGATATTCCATTCATTTTCTAATGAGTAAGTTCAATAGCTAACTTTTCATCTAGAGCTTTATAATGGATTGTAAATAGTATTGAGTTGCAAATTGTCCCTTTGTCCCTCAAAATTTAGTCAAGTTTGACCAGCACATGGATTAATAAATCAAAAATTGTGTGTTTGAAATTTGTGCAAAAGAGAAAGAAATGATATGAATCATAAATTAATTGATTAAAAAGAAAAGTGGGAGACAACCAAAAAAGAAAAGGTGACAAAGTTTTAGAGGAGTGAATGAGTATTTTGTTTACCTGAGAACTTTATAATTTTTTACTTGTGAATTTATGAGTCAAATAGAAACTTACTCATTTGAGTCAAAGCTACTTAATCTTGCCGAGTTAAATTCATACGATGTTCAATTGTTGAGCACATGGAGCTTAAAGAGCAACTCAATGTTTTGAGTTTTGATATGAGTGGAAATTCCCGAATGGAGCATTTTCTACTTTATGAAGTATTGCCGAGGATTCTAAGAAAATGATTGAGCTAAAAATTCTTAAGTCAGTGTTGTACCATCATTGCATTAGCTTTAGTATTATCAATTATTACAACGTCCAGTATTCCACAATGAATATTATCGAGACAAACTTCACAATGAAAGAGAAGATTACTTTCCTACATATTGCATAATGCATAGAACTTGTTGTGCAACACTTGCATATGAAAACTTGTGATAATTCATTACATTTTTGTTCTTTTTATTATATTTGAGAAAGTGTGCAATAATTTGTAGCCTTTGGTACACCCCTTTGACAAAACTTTGGCTCCAGTGCTCCACCACTGAGTGATATGACAGTTGTCCGAGCGTTACAAAGAACCCCTAAAGTTTAGCATGATAGTTGGTCTGGAAAATACAATTCGAGGAGGCTAATAATTATTGAAGTGCAACAACAATGTTTATACCGATGGTTGGTACTAACAATAATCAATTGGACTTTGAGACATGTATCCATAAACTCCTCACGAGCACACCGTGATTACCCGTAAACATGACCAAAACTTAAGGTACAGCACATTTTGGTTCAAGTTTAACTCTTACAAACATTAATGGAAACAAAAGGAATTTGTTTTGGTAGATATGGCATTTTGCATCACAGACTTACTCTCCTAACCAGTCTCGTTTGTATCCTCTTGCTGACTATCACCTTCATCGCCTGCTGCGGTAACTTCCTTTAGTTCTTCCCCGGGGTTCGATGCCTCTGGTTTTGCAGGTCCAGGGCCAGCAGACACCTTCACCATTGAGGGACGCAAGAGTCTCTCTCTAAGTTGGAAACCCTTGCGAAATTCTTCTATGATGACGCCTTCATCGAATTCTATCGAATCTTCACGCATTATAGCTTCATGCAACTGCCAACAAGAGAATGATCATATATACATGAAAAAATGTCTAGCATCAAAATTAGAATTTCTTTTGAGAATTTGAGTACAGCAGAGTGGGTTCATGCTCTTACAAGTTACAAAAACTATTGCAGCCAACACAGCAATGTTATCATACAAATGTGAAACACTAAAAAATGCAAACTTTGTGCTTCGGGTTCAGTGTCATGATATATATTGTCAATAAATTGTCTAAGATTATTCCATACTATAAAATCATGGTTATCATGCAAAAGAACAGTGGCAAATCTGAAGTTTGCTTCAACTGGACTTAGTCTAGATGTAACATGTTGCTTCAAATAATTCAAGATTTGATTTAACAACAAAAAGTGTTCAAGAAATCAAAGAGCATGGCCATATTTTTATAGCTTTTTGAAAGATCACCAGTCATTTGAAAGATCATTGAGCCAAATCAGAAGTTTGCTTCCATTGAGCCAATCGGTTTCCTAAGCCAACTTTATTTAGTAGAACTGGATCACAGATATATATATATATATAGAAATTGCATGAAAATTGTAGATTTTCCAGCAAAATGTGATGTCAGTACAACATATTTTATGCTTGATCACTTTGATATATGGTTAACAACAATGCAGTATTTACATGAAAATGACACTTGATAAAGTTTGCAAAAAAGGCAGCTTCATAATTCTCAAGGAGTGTAAACACAACTGTACATCTTTACACACATATAATATGAATATGTTTGTACATAGATGTACTAGTATTGATTCTGGAATAAGGATAAATTGAGAGACTTACCAAAGGATCAAAGGCACTGCCAATGGTCTCCACAGCATTAACACCAAGAGATCCCATTATTTCCATAAACTGTTTAGAGATGCTCTGGTAGCTTTTATTGATTTTCTCTTCTCCCTCAGTTTCAATTTTGAGTTGGGTTTTCGCTCTATCAAAGTTATCCAATACAGGTAAAAGTTTCTCAACGACCTCCCCTTGTGCATTGGTAACCAAAGAAAGTCGTTCCCTCTCAGTTCGCTTCCGGAAATTGTCAAAGTCAGCGCTAATTCTAATAACTCGATCCTTCTCATTTGAGAGCTCTTCAGTTAATATCAGCAGTTTTTTCTCCAGCTGGACTTTTTCATCATCTATAGACTTAAAAAAAGCTTCTAACTCTGCAATTCTGGACTCATCATTATTGGCCAAAGCCTCTCTGTATGACTTCAATGCAATAATAAGAGTTGATGATATGTCCTCAGAAGCTGTAGCCTCAACGTCATTTGGAAGACCATCACTGCTAGGATTATCATCTTGATTGCCCTAATACATTATGTTGTCAATAACAATATAATCAACATACAGGGGTATTAAGCTAAAGAAGGATATTTGCAAAAGAAGAAACACTATAAGGAAAAAACATGCACCAAAAACTACATGTTATGTTGTTATCACATGTGAGCTGCAAATTAGGGCATGTGGGCATTCACTATTTTATGGATTATAACTCAAACAAATTTGTATCAAAAGAATCAATTTAGTTGTCCCAATTTCGTTTTAGGGATGCTCCATATTAGTGATCCCACCTGTTTTGTTTTCTGAAAAAGGGCTCACATAATAAGACTTCTCTAACCACCCTTTTTAATGCTCTTCCACGATAATATTTCACATTAGATAGCTGCATAGGAAAATTTTAATGCTTATAGTGCGATTGGCATGCAAAACTCCAAAAGGAATGGAGTACAAGTTTTCCCAAGAAATACATCAACTATGAGTAGAACACATACATTTCATTTAATACCCATCCTATGAAAACCAGACATCCAAAGTCCAGACTTCCCTCTTAAAATTTTAAAGCAGCTTTGTGGCCCCAAATATGATTTAAAAAAAACAGTTTTTTCTTTTCCAGTTCAAGAATAATGCTGAAACAATAAATCGAAAATAGTGTGTAGTACAAATTCAACAAGAACAAAAAAACATTAGTCAATTTGAGCTACACTTAAATTCGTAGCGTCATTGTGAAAGGTAATATACAAACCTCTGCCACAGACTCTTGAACTTGCTCCTGCGCTTGGGGTTCTGTCTGAGCAGTCTCCGCGACCTCACCATCTGAAGAAAAAACCAAAAATTTCCCTGAAGAGCGAGTCACGGGAAGTACAACTTCTGGTCCAGAGTAGCGATGGTGGATGCGAAACCGGGCAGGAAGACATGAGGAAGTCCGTCTCCGTCTGCTGCCACTGGGAAATGAAACGACGCACGAAAAATTATGCGATAATGCAGAAGGGTTAGAGGTGGTGCTGAAGGAAGCTGACGGCGGCGCTTTCAGAGCAGAGGCCGTCCTCATAACAGTGGCGGCCATAGAGTGGATATACGAGGAGCGGATTGAATGGGCGGAAATCGGCTGGACGGAGGACTAGAGACGAGAATTTATTGGTTGAGTCAGGCGATTAGGACAGGGTTTTTGGAAGCGGAACGAAGGTACTAGATTGTTTTACTAGCAAAATTTGTTACCCGTGGAATTTGGGAAAAAACCCGGTTCTATATGGTTGGTGTTTGAGTTTCGATATGGTTGGTGTTTCTCCCGGTCAGGCTCAATCACAATGGCATCGCATTGCCGTATTGGTATTTTAAGTCCTTATATAGTACGATATGTCCAGCCGTCGTCATTTGAGGCGGTTCCCGGTGGATTTTTTTGACGAATTTTTTTGAGAATCTTATTCATTAAGTCTAGTTTACTCATACCAAATTTCAGCTAAAACTTCAACCGGGAAAGCATTCAAATGAATTCTTGAAGATAACTACGCACTTAAAAACGCAATTATCTTCAAGAATTCATTTGAATGGCTTACCGGTTAAAGTTTTAGCTGAAATTTGGTATGAGTAAACTAGACTTAATGAATAAGATGCTCAAAAACTTTCATCAACAAGTTCCACCAGGAACCGCCCCAAATGGGGCCGGCCGGACAATAAGGACTTATTTGACACTTTTTATGCAATTTCGAGTACCAAACTGACCATTACTCGGTTGAAAAGTCAGTGGCGCGAAGCTACTGTGTTGTGTTATGAGTGAACGCCGGGTCAATCACCGCTCCGGTTTTTACAACACTTAGAAAGTCACATTTTTATAAAGTACATTAAATGATTAGCTTGATTAAAATCTCACATGCTTTATGTAATTATCAATTGAAATAAAATTTTCATACATGTCAAAACTCTTATAACCGACCCTTTTTTTACCCAAAAAAAATAAAGACCACTTTTACTAGTTTTTAGGTGGAAGCGATACGGCTTGTGTGGTCGGTAAAAGCTTCAAAGCTCTCACATGGTTAGAGATTAATTGTGTTCATAATTGAGTGATGTATTATATTCCGTGTCTAATCAGAGAGTGAGAAGGCTGTTTGGCTACGCGGGGTCTCATAGGGAGGCTTGGCTTGTTGGGACTGTGGATATGTTTGGTTCTTTGATATATATGTAGTATAAATTAAGCTTTTTCCTTTTTAAAAAAAAATAAAGACCACTTTCATAAACAATGCAAGTCCTCAAAAAGGTAGCTCCTTAATGCGGTTTGATGCGTTAAAACGGCTTTTAATGACATCATAGAGGTAGTAGTGCTATTTGTAATATAGGAAGAGTTCTCCTACCTAACACATCAAGGATTTGGGGATGGATCTTCATAACCGTTTACAAATGAGGATTTGCGTAGTCATATCAACCTTGATGGTACTGGGTCTTGTAACATTGTTGAAGCGCAACAATATTATTCAAATAATTTGGAGCATGAGTGTAGAAGATCGACTAATATATTCTATATAAACAATTACGGTCAAAATCTAGATATATGAGTATTTTAGAGATTAGGTAAAGCTCGACAATGAATAAGACTTGTTACATGTTAAAGAGTTTATCAAATGTGTTTACTTAATCTAGCCCTATTCTAAGACTTGTCTACCTCTATCTATGTGATAATGTACGTGAAACATCATGAGAGAATATAAAGATGAAGTTGCGTACCAATGCTAATTAAAGTTCTTATTATAAAGATAGAGGGCTTGTAAAATGTGAAAGTTTGAGGGAATTTACTTCATTCATTTGATGCAATAATAATCTGAATTTGAAATGTATAACTGAAGGTTTGATCGGTTCTAAATATTGTATTATATTGGAGTAATTCTAAAAGAAATAGAAAGTTATGCTCAAGAAAGAAGAATTTTAAACCGTAACTAGAGCACTACTTCGACTGTTTTCTTTTGCGAATGAGTCAATAGTGAATTAATAAAACATATAATCAACTAATGAACAGGAAAATGAATTAATCCTAAGTTCATACACTACAACAAATTTCATCTATAGAGGCAACTCGTTGGGACAACTTAGATATTATTGTCTCTAAAGACCTACTTTTGCATCAAAGGATCATGGTTGCCTCTAATTTAGAAGATTTGAGGCAACCATATTCTATTTGCTTCTAAAAGGTGCTATTTAGAGGCACACTCTTTTGGTTGCCTCTGAAAAGTCATATTTAGAGGCACACTTTTATGGTTGCCTCTAAAAGGAGCTATTTAGAGGCACACTTTTATGATTGCCTCTAAAAGCTGTTGTTTGGAGGCACACTTTTGTAATTGTCTATAAAAGTATATATCTTATTATAATTCTTGCTAAAGCATATATTCTTAAATGTCAACTCGTTTCTAAAGGCAAAATTTATACTAGATACTTAACATGATTGTAATTATTTTTGTAAGTATAGTTGCAATTGAAATTATTTTTATAATTATAGCTATATATAATTAAAGTTATGATTATTGTTACAATTATAATTATAATTATAATCATAATCATAATCATAATCATAATCATAATCATAATCATAATCATAATCATAATCATAATCACAATCATAGTTATAGTTATAATTATAACTATAATCATAATTATAATTATAATCATATAATTGTAATAATAAGCTCAATCGGATTGAAAATATTAAATCAGATCAATTAGATTCATATCATATCAGAATGTTTCTGACCAGATCAGACTAGATAAAAAAGATTCAAATCAGATCAGAAAGATTTAGATCTGATCATATCAATTCAAATCAGAAATATTTAAATCAAATCAAATCAGAAAAGTTCAGATCAGATCAGAAGGATTCGGAGTATTTCATAAAGATTCAAACCAGATCAGATCAAATAAAAAAGATTCAACTCAGATTAAATTAAATATTACTAGTATAAAATTCAGATCAGAAAATTCTAAATTAATTTAAGAAATACTTCATATAACCTATTTTGGACTTTTTTTGGGAAAACCTATTTTGAATTTAGGATGTTTTTACTTGGATTGTAATTTGTCCCAAAACAGATCAGACCAGACTCAAACTCACATAATTATAAAAATACAAAAAAACTGATCAGACAAACAAATTAATCTCTCCGCTAGACGCCTAGACCTACGCTTCAGCCGTTCCTCCATGGCATCCAGAACCCTGATCTCGTTTTTTCCACTGAAGCACCGCCGGAATACGGAAGCACGCCAGATTAGCTGAATCACGGTCACCACAAACACCATCAATCTCGAAGGCAGCAAGTAATCTTACTACGAGCGGCTAATAAGGAGTGGAATCTTCATCGTTCTCGTCATGTAGACTCCTACTATGCGTGGCTCCACCTCGGCGACGGTGGTAGACTCCGGCCCTCGATTGGAAACTGCAATCTTCTGCCACACAATTGGAGTACGACCTCGACAACGATGTTTGTTGCTCGTGAGCGGCGCAGGGCAGCCTGAATGAGACCGATTTTGAAGACGAGTTTAGGAATATGTTTGGAGAATCCAGTTCTAAATGAGATCGATTTGGAAGGCTTCTTAATGGTGAGTGCTTAGTATGTTCCTCTTTCTTTTAACCATTTTAGCTTGTTATTCTACTGTGTGTTAGTGGTGGAATTGGTATTCTGGAAATTTGAACTTTACTTAATCTAATGAGAAGGCAGTTTGATAGAACTACTTCTAATTGGAAAAGATGAAATGTGGAATGCCATTTTTCAGAGCTAAAGCAGTTTGTAAGTGATTTCTGAACTGCACACATCAATTTAATTTGTACGTACTTCTTCTTCTGCTCTGTTTTATCTCAGTAAATAGTTTCACTCGGAGTTGTAAATTTAGTAAGATTATATGGTACAGATGATCCTTTCATATAGTGGCAGTTTTATTTGATCAAAGTATATCATCCTTTCATATACGGTTAAAACTTATATTCCTGTTTGTCTAACTTTAATTTAAATGATGACAAGTTTCTAACATCCTTTTATTTTATTAGAGTTACCGGGGTAATAACTAATTCTTCAGGTTATAGAAATGAAATAGAATGTATAATTTAATCCAAAAAGTAAAATATTAAAAGGAAAGAACTTGATTAGTGACTACATGTCTACATAGTATATAATTTGTTAGTTTTGTGATTTATTTTGTAAATTTACTAATATCCTTGAAGGTCAGACTTTTTTGTATGTATATTTAGTGTTAGTTCCTAGTGTTAATTAGTTTCAGTCTATAATTTTCCAGAGATGATAACTAATGAGTCATCTCATCACATTAATTGTGTGTCACCCCTTCTGAACAGAATTGTCAAGATAAAAGATGGTTTATACACGTTGTTGGGTGGCCAAAGTGAGGTTATTAATTGTTTCAATGCTTTCCACGTGAAAGGGAATATATGCTCCAGTGAAGTGTATGATATCTTGAGAACAAGAAACCACAATAAACCTTGGATGAGATGGATATGGAAACACTACATCCCACCTAAGTATTCATTTATCCTTTGGCTTGGGTAAGTGACACATGGATTCAGCTGAACATTTGTTCTTCAAGTGTCACTTCATTAGTGTTGTCTTGCAAGAGTTTGGGAAATGGCTGAAAATGGAGGGAAACCAATATTCTATTGAGTCCTATTAAAATGTGTATAAAGTAGTATGGGGGCAGGGTTCCAAAGCAAGGTTGTTCGTATAGCCCCGTGTTGTGAAGTTTATTCAATATGAAAGGCAAGGAATGAAATGGTTTTTGCTAGGAGACAAGTCTCTTTTAATAGTCTGTTTTTGGAGATTAAAGTGCTTATGTACAAGATATTATTTAGGCTATACCGGTCTTCCATGATTGATTTTTGAGTTTACTAATCCCTATGGTGAATGTGCAGAACTTGGTTGCTAGTTAGAAAGTTTGGTTGCTGGTGTTTTGGGCAGATTGGCAGAACTTTGTTGCTGGCATGGTGTGTTATTTAGAGTTTAATTTCTGGACTATTTATAATAGTTAGTTTGCTGCTGAACTACTTCATTTATGTTTTGTGTAGGTTTTTGTATTCGTGCAACACTTGTTGCATGAAGCTTTAGTCTATTTTGCTAATGCTTGATGGGGAATGCCTCTGATTATGTAATTAACATTTCTTGGCAGCTTATTTAAATTTACCTTTTATCCCCTCCAAAAATTGTCATATCTTAAAGTAATTTTTATATTAATATTTATGAAATTCTAGTTTTCTTTTTCTGATGTGCTAGATCAATGAAAATTGTGAGGAAAAGCCAACAGATGAAGACAATGAAGTGACATTTTCCCTTGGCCTCTAGTTTCATTTGGTTTCAACTGAATAGTCAGCAGCCACTAAATTTGCTCCACCTGTATATTATTGAGATTTATTGAATAGTTGTAATTTACTTAAAAGTTTTATGTTATTACTTCATTGTAAGCCTAAATGTTATTATGAATTCAAGTTCTATGGCGAGTTATGACTTTAATTATAGTGAAATTTATTGTTCAACTAATCTTATTTAATGTGTTGAAAAACTAAAAAAAAGTATTGCAAATTTTTTAATATAAGTGCTCGCATTTGATAAAACATGTAATAATATATAATGATGTGATTAAACTATTGGAGACAACAGAATATCAATATATCATTAACGTATTGTTGTCTCTAAATTCGTAAATAGCAATGAATTAAATTGCATCTAAAAATATATAGTGGCAATATATGGGGTTGCCTCTAATAACATTTTGAGTCAATATAATTGTGATTGCTTCTAATGATATTTTGAGGCAAATAATTTTATTGCCTCTAATGATATTTTGAGACAAGATAATATGATTGCCTCTAAATGTATACGTTTTAGAGTCAAATCTCGGGTTGCCTCTAAAAGTAGTTTTAGAGGCAACCATCATTTAGCGACGGATTAATTAGAGGCACCTTTGGGGCAACCAATAAATTGTCTCTAAAAGTAATTAGAGACTACTTTTCTATTTTTAGAGGCAACTATGACCCGCCTCTATAAATCTTTTTTGTTGTAGTGATAATAGTCTCAAAATGAACTCGTTTTGACAAGACCTATTATATGGTTTTACAATACGGCCTTACTTCCATATCGGTGATTAGACCCACGAGATATCCTAGGCGTACACATTTTGTGTACACCTTTTATACAATCGTCTGTCTTAATTACAAAATATTGCATGTCCACAAACAATTCTACAGAGTTGTCTGTAGATAGACAATTCTTTGTGCGTGAGACAAACGAATGTATAAAAACTACACATTAGTAGCTATGAACATATAAAAACTCTATTACTCGACTCACAAACTTAACCCCTTTTCTTCATATGATTCTTCAAGAATCTGCCATTTTTGCTTCTTAATTTCCTCAGCAGCTGTCATGAATCTTTCTCACAAAGCCACCAAGATTTTTTTTCATTTTTACTGATTCTTAACTCTCACAAATCTGAGTGTTTTGTATAATCACAATTCGTATGGCCAATGCATGAATTTATGTTATTACAATTACAATATGATCATATACCTTTTAAAATCATTCTTGATTTGTTTTCAACTTTTCATCTCCGTAAGAGCAATGTGGTGCTACACTTCAGGAAATGTAATCCGGGGACCAACGCATGGGCGTGGCTTAGAGTGCGTGAAACTCATCGTCGTTCTTCAATTCCATGAAGAGCCCGTTTGAATTGGCCATAGAGAAATTAACTGTATTTGTTGAAATTGGTGAAATTCTAATTGTAAAATTGAATTGGTAGAGTTTCCTGAACTGTGAAAAATTATATTTTAAAATACATTTTTTTAAAAACAATATTACAAAACTATGCGAAAATAGCAAAAATAGTCATATTCAGTAATTTTTAGGGAAAATCGTACTTCTGTTATCTCAATTAGTCACCATATTCAAATGAAAGACATGTGTTCTTGAAATTGTAAATGTCACCCCCGAATTGACAAATGTGTTTTAAAATTTAAATGTCATCCCCACCGTTTATAATCCATCTCCAATTCAAGACTACCAATAAATTCAACGGGGATGACATTTACAACACATATATATCAATTCAGGTGACATTTACAATTTCAAAAACACGATTCCAACATTTCAATATGGTGACTAATTAAGGGACCAAAATGCAATTTTCCCTTATTTTAATTATTGTATCATTTGGTGCGTAAAATCTAAAATTGGGAGCTGGGTAAAAAATGATCAATAAAGGAAACGGAAAATAGGTTATGAAATGAATTGGAGAGGAAAAAGTATCATTTTCGAGAGACTTCAAATAGAAGTCGTTTACGCAAAAAGCCAAAAACAATGTCGTTAAACGGAAGGTTTTCATTTTTCTTTATTAGATATCCTAACTAAAAGTTATCATTTCTATTTTAAGAAATAAATAACACTCTTAAATGATAATTTAATCATCAAATATTAAAAATAATGCATCTATAATATCTCAATTTTCATCAATGACCTCATTATATTATATCAATAAAAAATATTTCTCAAAATATATATAAATTACATTATTTAATTATTGTCTAATTGATCGTGTTATATTGTTATGGGAACCTTAATCGGACGAAGAGAGTACGTATTAGCTTGTTTTTATTAGACCGTTCAAATGACAACGAATTAATTAATATGATTAGTCTATGGAATATTTGCATATATTAAAGAATTCAAATTACTGGTAATTTCGGGAACCGTGTTACAACTTAAACTCTTTAATTGGATCGTGCACGAATTATTATACTACATTCCAGATTGAAAAATGAATTTATGTGGTTGATATTAAATTGATAAACTAAGAATGAAGTAAGAATAATCTAGAAACACAAAAACTTTATCCAATTTAGTATGAGATAATCTTAGTGTAACAGATCGAAAAGGAAAGATGAGAAAAACGTAGCGAGACCGAGGGAGTATAAGTATTTGATTCGTTAGCGATTTCACTCCAATTTAACGATATTGAAATATAAGACCCGTATTTTCGAGTTTGTAAATGTCACCCCTCAATTGTCCAAATTTGTGTAAATGTGGTCCAAAGTGGGCGAGGAGCACATTTCACCCCTCAAAGGATCACATTTACACCAATTTGGACAATTCAAGAGTGACATTTACAATATCTGAAACATGGGTCTGACATTTCAATATGGTGACTATTTCAGGTACTAAATGTGCTATTTTTCCCACTCCATATATAGTTTGTCTGGGCTGGGATGAAAATCTATTCAAACTTCGAACTAAGTTTGTATTCTAGTTCGAAATTTATATTAACATTGAAAATTTTACGCTATTCACATATTCTATTTTGACTGCATTTTACTAGTATTTATTAATGCGTGAGAATTTTTTTTTTGAATAATATTGTTGAATTCATCTTATTACAAATTTTCCTAATCCGATATTTAAATATTTTTTACTAACATAAAATTAAATATGACGATGGTCAAAATTATGTGTTGGTAAATGTGAACATGAGAATGTTGCAACAAAAAAAGAACGGAGGAAGTATTAGAGTTCGAACAATTTGAAAAAAGTTTGGTTCATTAACCGCCCAAATTACATATAGATAACTTGATCATATATTTTAGAAAGAAATAATTCAAATATCTCAAACTTTGAAGAAATGTAGAGTAAGTATCATAAACTTGCACGTGTAATATATAAACCCCTAAACTTTATATAAAAAGATATGTCAGTACCATTATCATATGTTTTTCTTTAAAAAATGTAAATTTGTGGTCTTTAGTATATAATTTAAAATACGCAAAACATTTAATTACGAGGATGTAACTAGCATTAGATTGAACTGAATGTAGTACTACGTATTATTTATAATTTATTTCACAAATGGAGCTTTAAAATGTCAATTGCATCCTAATACAAACTTGGTGTATTTTAGATTATGTACTTATCACAATAAATTTATATTTAAGAAAGAAAAAATATAATGTCATCACGAAAAAATAACTTTTTATATAAAGTTTGGAGTATGTATATTACATCTACAAGTTTGGTGTACTTATCTCACACTCTTTAAAAGTTTGGCGTATTTATATTATTTCTCTCTCTAATTTTATAAGCGTGGAATGACAATGTTTTAAATGTAAATACGCATTATATATTATACCACGTATTACTCCCTCCATCCCGAAATGAAGTTCCCTATTTGACCTACACACATATTTATGTATGATAAAGTTTTATTTTGTCAAATCAAGCAAATAGTAGATAAAACGTAAGGGTAGTTCTGACTTTTTGCTTAAAATAATTTTCTTTTTGTTGAAATGAGAACTTTTTTTTGAAACATTCATAAAAGGTAATTACATAAATATGACCAAAATAAAGATGATTTGGAAAAATATGACTGGTTACTAGAGTAGTGATGAAATCATAGTAATTCATGTTCAAGTTTTGAGCTTAAGTTACCACAACACTACGTTGTAGTAATGAATAATCATATTTATGTAAATAAGTTTTAATTTTAATAATATTCTGTATATTATTTGAGTTTTTTACAAGAATATTACTAAAATAAAACTTATTTACATAAATATGACTATTCGTTACTACAACGTAGTGTTGCGGTAACTTAAGTTCAAAACTTGAACATGAATTACTATGCTATGATTTCATTACTACTCTAGTAACTAATCATATTTTTGTAAATCATCTTTATTTTTGTAATTATTTCATATTATTATATAAAACTCGTCAACTCAACTCTCTCTCATTCTGTTAACTTTTTAAGTGTATTAACTTTAAAAAGTATAGATCTTACTCTATACTCTAGCTGTATATTTAATGATAATCAATTCAAACCTTTGAGATTAGGTAAAGTGATAAAAGGACAATGAACAGATGACCAGCTCACCGACCCCTATGCAAGTCCAAATTTTCTTCTTTCTAGTCCTATCTGATCATCTCTTTCTTGCATTTTATTATCCAGAATTTTATTAATAAGATACTCAATTCTTTTTGTAAATTATATCGTGAAATCGACAAATCGTCACATTGATATACCGATTCAACTACATCGTATAAAGTACTACGTTATTTGTACTCTCTCTTTTCTCTCCTGCAGTGCATCCTTTTTCTTTTTCTTTGACTTCTTTTTATTCAATTCGTTTCTCCTCCATCAAAACATTAAAAATTTATTTGCAATTTTAATTTTCTTTATTTTCAACTTAAATTGCAACTCAATCTATTTTTGTTCTTTATCGATTTAGGACAAAAAAATTATTAATGGTAATAAAATAAGTATTTGCATTTCACATCCATACCCTATTTTTTCTATAATATTTTTGAATTACATTCATACTTTTTTTGAAATATATTTTTGGGATTTTCATATCCTTACACTTTTTTATATAACACTCCCTCCGTCCAACAAAGAAATTCCCGTTTTGCTTTACGATGGTTGACCGACGATAAAGCAAATCGATCCCCGTTAACACTTGAATTCTTTTTTAGTAAAAAAATTACATATTCAGAAATCACATTAAAAATTCCACAAAGTCACAAAAAGAAAATTCAAATTTGATAAAATGTGATATATAAAGTAAATGATAAAGAAGATTTAAGTTGACCAAGTAAACAGTGATGAGAACTTCATTTTGGGGTGTAGGTAGTACTTTTTTTTAATCTCTTTTATGTTTTTAGTGGGGTTTTAAGGCATTGAGGTTGATTATTATGATTAACATTTGAAAATGAAATGTATTGAACAAACCGATGAAGGATAGCGCTGCAAATAGGGTCTGCGCTTAGGGTTGGGGCCGGCGATTCTCCAAATCGCTCGGCGTTTTATTTACGTAGCAGGGTTAGGCGAGAAGGCTTCTCCAAGAGCGCAAGGTTTCTCAACCAGGCTATTGTGGAGCTCTGTTTTTGGAGATTTTAGTGCTCCACGTTGGTTTACTTCACAAGAAAAGGCAGACGACGTACGGACGAAGGGCCAGAGAGGACAATGACAGACATGAACGCATACGGAGAAATTGGCAAACGCGTATGGCAAATTGGAGATGGAGGAAGGAGATAAATTTCTACATGTGGAGGCTAAGGCTTCAGGGATCGAGGAGGCTGGTTGGGACAATTACTTCTGAAAAGTCGGTATGTTTTTCTTTCTTTTGGGATACTATGGCTACTGTGTGGAAACGTGTTAGAGGTGTTACTATAAATGAGATAGGTGCATGCAGATATATGTTTCAGTTTTACAGTGAGAGTGATATGAAACGTGTTTTGGATGAAGGACCATGGACTTTTGATCAGAATCTCATTGTTCTTGCTAAGTTAAAGCAAGGAGATCTGCCGTTGAAGGTTCCGCTGAATAGGGCTGACTTCTGGCTACAGGTTCATCATGATGTACCAATGGGATATTTTTCTGTGAAAAATGCTATAAAAATTTGGAATTTTGTGGGAAGTTTTATCAAGGTGGATGAGTATAATTTCTCTCTTGAATGGAACCCTTACATGAGGTTAAGGGTTAGTATTGATTTGAACATGCCTCTGAAAAGGAAATTGTTTCTTCAATCGAATGAAAGGGAAAATTTTTGTGTAAAATTTAGGTATGAAAAATTGTCTAGTTTATGTTTTGCATGTGGAATTATCGGCCAATCATGCAGAAAGGTTTTGCCCGCATTATCCCGATGGCAATGGCAGGAGTGGAGGGTTTTTGTTTGGACCCGAGCTGAGAGCTTCTAAAGGTAACACAGCTATAAGGGGTAACAAATGGCTCGTCCCAGTTGGTAAAGGGAAGGGGAAAGAAGAAGAGGGGGGAATAGGGATGGTAAGCTTGGAGGCACAAGAAAGGCCGCAACAGAGGAAAGATCATACTCATATAGGAGATAAGGTGGAACTGGAGCGTAGGCGGGTGGATCGTGGGGAACAGAAGGCATCGCAGGAGGATATGGAAGTAGAGACGGGCACACCAAAAAACGGGGAGGAGGCGGGCTACGACGCCCGCCTGTCAGGCAAATAAGAGATGCATTGGAGGAAGCAGAAAGGATGGAAGCTTTCAAAGTCCATCACGTGGATGTTTACTTTTGCTGTTATTTTTCTTTTCGTCAGGATTCAATTTTCGATTTTTTCATTTATCATTACTTACAATAAGGGTGTGGGTTTTGTGGGTCGTTGTGTTTTGATTAGGTTTCTTCTTGGTGGAGACAATCAGGCTGTCACAACCGCTAATAGCCTCTTTTCTCTCACCGTTTTCAGCGATTAGTCCCGCTCTTCATGGGTTGGACTATTTTATGTCTGAACATGCTTGAGAGGGGCGATGGGCTTTTGGTATTGTTGGGTTAGCGAGAGAATTGGGTCTTGGGGTTTGAATGATGTATTGCTCGTTTGATTCTAATATAAGCTTTTTCCTTTCGAAAAAAAATTACTCCGTATGATTTACACATTTGATAAAAATGATATTTTTCATTTTGTTTTCTATATTTTGATGTGTGTGAGTTACATCTATACATGATTCTTGAAGTTACGTTTGATAATACATGAAGTTACATCTTCTTATATATGCGCGATTTACATCTTCATGTGTGCGATCGAGTTTCATCTTCTTATGCGCGATTTACCAGATGTACGCGAGTTAAATCTTCTCCCATGGTATGAGGATTCAACTCTTGTTGTTCTCCATAATACTATGTCTCACTCTCTTTCACATAACCTGTCATATTTATCTACCTATATATGTTAAAACATTTAACTAAATTTAACAATAAGCATAATAAATCAAACTTGAGCACGTAAAATTATATCTAAATTTTACTACGTATATTGCTTTATGGTTGTAAGTTGTAACGTTATAACGCCTAAAATAAAGTTTTAACTCGTCAATATTAGGACTTAATTCCATCATAATAACTAAAGCAGTGGTGAGCTAGAAATAATTCCTAATTAAAGGGGCCAGAGCTTCAAAAAATTAAGACAAACTTACAACATATATTTATATAGTTTACACACACATATATAAGGAACGGTTTGGATAAGAAAGAAGTCTTAAGAGTGAAATGACAATAAAATCTAAAATCTAACCCTTGACAATAGTAATCTAGCCCTCTATTGTTTGTCTTTGTAAAGAGCAAAATCTGAAACTCTAGTTAGAATATAGAATTCACTCAATTTAGGTAAGAACAATATGGTTCTAGTACGTTTGTATAGGAGACTATATAAGAGACTGATAACCCTGATTTTGTTTCTCTAAAAAAGGTTAATGCTCGTGTTTAGAACTGTCCAAATGGTCAAAACCCCAACCTAGATACTAGTAAATGTACATGATCTGATTCTGAAACTACCTTCAAAACCCCAACCTAGATGCTAGTAAATGTACATGATCTGATTCTGAAACTACCTAACCGAATACGAGTCAATCCGACCCGTGTCAATCTGTGCTCTCTTTGAAACCCAATCCAACCCGTGTCGATCCGCGCTCTCTTCGAAAAATGTTCTGGAATCGTCATTATCCCTAAACCATGGGTACAACAATAACAACAACGTAAAAACAACAAACTATTTTCGGATGACCTATAATGAAAATCGCGTTGAAGATTGCATTGACTGACTACTACTTGATAACAAAAAAGCACAAATTGTCCCTAAACCATGAATACATGATTATACTTTTGCGATGTTCTTAATTGGGAATTCTGCGTACATATCCTCCAATTTAATGAATCAATTAAATATAAAAATGAGTCAAAGAAGAATTTTTTTTTAAACTAAAAGTTACTGAAATAAAACCTATTTATAGTATTGTGGGATGGTCACTTAAGTATCAAAATTGGACATATATAATTATTACGGAGTATTTATTTCAAAAAAGAAGGAAACAGAGAAAGAATAGAAACCTTGAGTGTATAAAAATGACATTAGTAACATTGAGTGTCTAAAAAAACGTTAGATTCCTAGTTATGTTATTCACTTGAAACTTTAGTCACAACCTTAGATTCACATATAGTACATGTTTGCCTATTGGTTGGTACTTGGTAGGTATAAGTCACATTCACTACCTTTTATCTTTTATACTACCCCTCCCTCTCTCAAACAATTTTTCACCTTCCTTATTTGGATGTTCCTAATTTTACTCCTCATTTCCTTAAATGACAAATTATCTACATCAAAATAGTGCAAAACAGTGTCAAAACAATAAAATTTACCTCTAGTAAATTTATTTTCTTACTATGTGTGTAAGTCAAATCGGGAAGTTATTTCGGGGACGGAGGGAGTATCTATTTGATAGAAAGTTTGTAGCTGTTAGTACGATAGTACTCCCTCCGTTTCAGTTTGGTTGACATAGTTTGATTTGTCAACATTTAAGGAAAACATTTACTAAGGGGTAAATTTTACTGTTTGGGCACTGTTTGGACACTATTTGAACACTGTTTGGACACTGTTTGGCACTGTTTGAACACTGTTTGGCACTGTTTGAACACTGTTTGGCACTGTTTGACACTGTTTTGTTTACCAAATGGGAAGTGTGGCATTCATTTTGAAACGTCCAAAAAAGGAAAGTGTGTCAACCAAACTGAAACGAAGGGAGTATTAATTAGTCACAACGGTTTGTGATATCATACAGAACTAATTCAAATAATAGATGGTTTTTCAAACGGTTACAACTTTCTTCTTTTAAAATCTTTTCTGTCATCAACAACCAATAATTATAAAAATCTCACAAAAGTATCTTTTGAGTTAATTCTTCAAACATAATACTACGTATATCCATAAACTTTGTATATGGTGGATCCGGAGCCTCTGTCTTGCTTCTTCACAGCCGTCCAATCGAAAATTCAATGACCGGAGATTTTGGGATCCACTCTTTTGTCAATCTCGAGGCCGTCCTCGCCGCTACTCGGCCGTCCGATGCACAATGGACTCTGTCGTGCGGCCGAGGATCCCGATCTGTATCTCATGTAATATTCTTACGTTTCCCTTTGTAAGATAGAAGTTCTCAAGATGAATTAATTAAAATAAATATGGTAAAAGCTCGTAGAGAAAGAAATAAAAGCATAAATAAAATTAAAGCAAAGTAGCATTACTAAATTTTATATATATTAATTAAATTAATATAAGAGAGAGAAGTTCAACATTCTGCAGGTAGACATTGCCCTGTGGCGTGTGAAAGCTTGTGGTTGGACATCCAATGGACTGATGGATGGATGAGGGTGTTAAAAAAATTATTTATAGGCATTGCCCATTTAAAACTTTGTCACATTTCATTTTTTGATTATAAAAATTTTACCACTTTATTTTTAATCTATCAATTTATGGTTTCTATTATTTGTCTCTTCTCCATACAAATGTCACTGCACAATTTTTACTTTATTTATTTTCTGTACCGATCAAACTTGATAAAGTTTTGAGTGATGAGAAAAAAATTACAGCCAAAAAATGAAAAACATGTACACTTCCCATTTTTCTAAAAAAAAATGCAGAACGCTTATTTTGGGGAGCCTTCCTGGAATATAGAGCATGCAAACGACAGAGCATAATAGATCACCAAAATGGCCAACCATGCATGTGCTACAGTGCTAAATTCTCAGTGTGAAATGACTGTAAGGGACTTGGTCAAGCTGTAGCACTGCGCACAGACTTGCAAAAGAAAAAGGACTCTCAGCGAAAAAGAAAGGAATGGGACCGACTTTTTTCTTTTTTCTTTTCTTTCTTTCCCACCATTGTTCTTTTCTTCTAACCACACCTTTCTCTTCCATTGCTTCCTTCTTCACACAATCCAACCCTCTCTATTTCAGCATAAAAGATTTAACCCTTTGCAGGAAGTTAAGAGGTATCTTGAGACTGATAGCCGCTAAAAGTGGGGAAAAGATCAGTTTTTGTTTTCTCAGGTACTGTCCAATAATCGTCATCATCTCTTTCAATTAGTTCCTTGTGTTTTTGCTTGTTTCCTTTGTCTGACTTGATCTAACAGAGATTGGGGTGTTTCTTTAATTGCCCATTCTCCCAGATTTTGTTTAATAAATAAAGTGGGGTAGAGCTGGAAAAAGAGGACAAGAAGAAGAAATGGGTGTTCAGCTGCCAGATGTTGCAGTTGAAATGAGGAAAGTTCTAATCTTTTCCATCAAAACATGTTATAAAATTGTTTCCAGCCATCCATTCCTAGTGGGGTTGTTTTGTTTTTTGGCGTTACTGTACAGATCATTCCCTTTGGTGTTTTCTGTGTTGGTGTCTGTATCTCCTGTTCTTATCTGCACTGCCGTTCTCCTTGGAACTTTATTGAATTTTGGCAATCCAAACATACCTGAGATTGAAAAGGAAGAAGAAGGAGGCAAAACAGTTCATGATCATATAGTATCTCTAAAAACTGGGGTTTTGTCAAATTCCACTGTTCTTGAGAAGGATGAGAGCTATTATTCTGTTGAACAGTTCAAGGAGAATAAGAATATATTAGATCAGTTACTTGATGATCCATTTTGTGGTAAGGTTGAAAACCAAACCCGGGGTATTGAGTTGTATGATGGGAAAATTTCAGAGCATAAGTACACTCCAATTCCTAATATGGATGATGAGAGTCTTGATTCTGATTATGAGAAACCCTCATATTCCTGTGATAATAATATGGATGAACACAATCTTGATTTTGATAAAAAATCTGCGGACTCAAATGACTCTAAGATGGTGAACATTGGTTCCCCTCTTATAGATAGGGAGGATTTTGAACACCATCGATTCTCACAGGTTCCTAATATAGATGACGATAGGAATCTTAAATTTGATGAAAAAGACCCTAAAATGGCGATGGTTGATTCAAAACAAGAGGAGCAAGAAGAGGATGCTGATTATGATGACGAGACTTCAGATTCCGGTTCGGATGGAGCAGAGAGTTCTTCCCCAGATGCTTCAATGGCTGACATCATCCCGATCCTTGATGAACTCCATCCTCTTCTGGATGAAGACGAGAACAACCCGCAACCCGTTAATGATTCAGATTCAGAATCAGACGACGGGTATGAAAACCAGGAAGTAGAAGAGAAAATCCGCAAAGAACAAGCAGAAACCAAATCTAGAATGATTATATGGACGGAGGAGGATGAGAAGAATCTGATGGATCTTGGAAGCTCAGAGATTGAGAGGAATCAACGGCTGGAAAGCCTCATTGCCCGTAGAAGAGCTAGGATGAACAGGAGGAGTACAATGGTTGAGAAGAATTTGATTGATTTCGAAAGTGTTTGTGATCTTATCCCATTCAACATTTCCCCCATTTCAATTCCCAAAAAAAATCCGTTTGATCTTGCTGCTGATGATATAGGACTACCACCCATTCCAGGGTCTGCCCCATCCGTTTTGCTTTCCAGGACCAACCCGTTTGATATCCCTTATGACTCGAGTGAAGAAAAGCCTGATCTAATGGAAGACAGTTTCCAACAAGAGTTCAAGACTGCCAAAGATCCATTCTTTAGTGTACGCCCATCATTATTCGTTCCAATTATACAAGATACGCACTCGGAAGGAGCAAGCTATCCACGGTTTCAAAGACAACCAAGTGAGCTTAGTGAGTCAAAAGTTAGTTCTATTCCTGAAACTGAGTCAAACGATTCAGCTATTGATTCAGAAGTCCAGAATTTGGCTGATGAGACCGATGGTATGTCATGGAAAAGTGAAGAGAATGGTCTGGAAGTGGGACCAAGTCCGGCCCATGAAGGATGTGCTTCTGAAACTTTGGATCTCATTGCAACTGAAATTCATTCACAGCCAGAAACTTCATTAGGAGGGGCAGATGTGGATGAGAATCATCAATACAGGGAGCCTATATATGATCTAAGTCCAACTCGAGCAGAAAAAATATCTTCATCATCCATTGCTTCAGATGATCAAGTGAAGGAAATTAAGGAAATGGAAAAGCCTACTCCAATCAGTGAAGAAATCTTAGCTAATACATGCTCCCAGCCAAACTCTCCCGGATATAAATGTGCTGCTGCAGCAATGTCATTTCTTCAGTCTGATGATGAATTGAGATTGTTGGATTCCAAAGACCAGACTGAAGTGCAGGTTGGTGATGTTACAATAGATATATCTTATTTCTTCTACCTTTTGCTACTTTATGAAGATTTCTACGGAGTATGTTATTTATGTAGATTCTTTTAATTCGTTTATTTGTGGTTGATAATAATCTTCATGTTTCTATCCATTCATAGCCTAAATTTTTTGTATGATATAATTTTTTGTAGGAAATATAAATTCTATCTCTGCATAGCCGACAATTTTGTACCGTGTCCACTCAACCTCAATTGCATTATTAAAAAGTGATCAAAAGTCTGTGCCTAGTCAAACCAATAATATGAAAAGAGGACGAGGAGTATAGATGATAATGCGTTATCTACGTTTGATTGCATACTTATAATTTTTTTCATTCAACATGACACTTTGATTCAATGGATCTTGCAAGTCTTTGTGCTCGTTGTTGAGGCTTAGTAAAATCAAATTATTCGTTAGGTCTTAACAAATTGTCAAACTCTAGTACCATATTATAAGTTGGCAGATAAAACCCCAAATTAAGAGAGGTAGCCTAAGACTTTATAAGAAATAATGATCTTGTAATAAGGAATTGGTTCAAAATGAGTAAAAATGGAAAAGTTTACATATAGGATTAATTATGTTTTATTCCTAAAACATGACTTTTTAGTCCTAATAAAAGAATAGAAGAAGCTAATTATTTTAGGAGTGAACGAGACTATTTTGGGGAAAAAACAATGTCGGTTCTATTTGAAAAGATGTGTTATGTTTTAGTTCGATTTAAGAAATTTCCACTTATGTACTTGTTTGATGTGGGATGACTTAACCACTTTAGACAGTAATGAACATAATTTGTAGGTAGGGTGTGAATTAGCTAGAGATTCAGATGCCTTCACTTGCCTGATCAGGATCTTTTTTCTTTCTTGGTGTGATGCTCAGTCAATGCACTAAACATATCAAGTAAAACCACTAAACAATAGTCAACGCACATATATGGAAAAGTTATGAGGCAATAGTTCTTGTGTGTAGAAATCTTAGTTATCTTACCTTCTTCTGATAAAAGCAGGAGACACCGCTTATTTTGATGGAATCACCTAAGAAGGCAAGTGATTTAAATGTGTTAGAAACGAGAGATGTTGACAGCGAGGCTCATTCTCCACCATCTCCTGCGTTTAATCAAATGCTCCACACGGCTGATGATGGTCAAACAGACACAAAAGAGAGATCTTTTAATGAACTTGAAAATGATGACCACATTGATGTCTTATCACCCCATAAGTTTTTCATGGAAGCAATTGATTTCCATGAAAACATGCAACACGTAGATGACGAAACAGATGGCATCAAGGAAATCGATGAGGGGATATTATCCGAATTAGATGCTGTTGGTGATTTCAGCTTCAATGAACCGGTTGCTACAAGCTTCTCCAATGAGTTTGAAAGTCTATCCATTCTACACAATATCTGCTCTGTCAGCCCGAGTTTTTTTGAAGAAAAAGAAATACACGAAGAAAAAGAAGACTCCAATTTTGTTCATGAAAAGACATTTCCAGTTCTCGGACCTTCTCCATCGAACCAAAATTCAAGTACAGAAGACATCAACCTGGGAGTGACTCTAGTTGAAGAAGCAAGCTCACTGAAAGATCTAGAATCCAGTTATGAAAACAAAGGGGCTCTTGAGCTACCTGAGTTGCCTCAAGAAAATGAAAAATATGATCTTCTTGATAATCATTTTCATATCGATTCACCATTTAAGCAGATAGATCACGAAGAACGTGAAAGACACGACCTTCTTGATCAGTCCACTCATTCTGATATTAATAACAAGAAGGCGCCTGTCGATTCTGGGAGCCCGAGGAATGTGATACTGCATGAACATTTAACATTAATACATAATGAAATCCCATGTTCTCAAGATAGATTGGCTAGTAAAGTTGAACTGGATACTGAAGGGAACTTATCTGAAGAAATATCATGCAATGTACCCGAAAAGCTGGATTGTGAAGTTAACTCAAAAGATTCAAACTTCATTACATCTGTTGAAAAGGTTGATCAAGAAGCTCCTAAACATGACGATTCATGTTAAGGAGATGCAGACTCCTAAAAACTGGGTACAAGATCAGGTGATTCTGATAAGGAATGAGAAAGTGTGAACCAATCTTTCTGGGAAAAGGAAGAATGATGAATTGGGTTTTGATTTTTTTTCTTCTATTACATGCTAGCAAGTCGCTAGTTACATAATTATTTGTTCCTTTTTCTTTAATTTTTTATTCTTTTTTGTTTTGGTGTGCCTTGTCTGAGGGCTCTTGGGATAGTTTGGACTATTCCATTTGGTTTTCTGTTTTGGTTTCATTTGTATGTCGATTTTTGAGAGAAAAGCAGTAATGAGTGGCTATTGCAAACTGTTAAATTGTATGCTGTTCATATATATACACTGTTAATTTTAATGTAAAGTGAGTGGCTATAGCATTATAAATCTCTACAATTCTATAGAGCAGGGCATGCTTCTCTTATGGAACCCCAAGACCCATCATTACTCTTCACTTCTGTGGACATGTTCACCGCTATAAAACAAAAGCAGATAAGAAATAAATTATATCGGACCTATAATTTAAAAATTAAAGGTGTTGTGCACTCAAATATCGGACTTCTTAAAAAAATTGTATTGGACCAACAAGGCATGGAAGCACCTCTGATTCCTGCCTCGAAATATAGTAGTAGTGTTTATGTTTTGGCTTGTTGTAATTCTATGGATGAAAAGTGGTAATTTACTCTTTTCAATCTATTGGGTGTGCAACCCTCTAAAAAATTGTATATGAGGATCATAAAGCAGTTCAATTTTGTTCCCCGCTAAGGAGGGTGAACATCGCTCCTTCCTACCTGCATATGGCATGCCGTTTCTTAAATTGTTATAACTTTTTATTTATGTCCAATTTTTATGAAAATTTAGTACATTTAATGATTGTATGATATTTCAATTGTTACAATATTGCATACTACTATAAATTTTTTAAACAAATCTATTTTTTCTAAGTATCTATTTTACTCATTTGCATTGTAGCCAAAAACTCAGTATTTCTTGGCTTGAGAATATGATGGATTGATGGAATAAAGTAAAATAACCAACTAAACTCTGTGCGCTTCTTTGTTATGAAGCAACAGTCAGTCTATGTAATTTTTTACGCGATTTTCACTATGAGTTATCCAGAAACAATCTCGGTGTACTTTAGTATAGGGGTAAGGCTGCGTGCATCCTGCCCCATCATAGGTAAGAGCCTTTGAGGTAGTGGGTGACAGATGATGATCTATTTTAATCATTTTTTCAATACTTTACATATGCAAGGCTCACACTCTCACGACAAGCATGCGTACGGAATAAACTTTACATTGTCATTTTGACAAGGTGCTACTCCCAAAAGTTGAACTCGTAACCGGTATGGCAAAGCTCCATTCCTTTCATGTCCAACCTATGTTTGAAATAATTGAATGTGGTGAAATATCTAGTGATATAGAAACTCTTAATAATAATAGTGAGTACATAAAATATGGTGATAAAACTTCCGTTTGTCATTATTTTAGCGTAATAGTTTTATTAGGATGAATGTCATCCTATTAATTGAGTAAAAGAATTAGGGTGGATATATAGATTTTGGTATATTTTTATCGGTTTTCAATTTAGTTCGGTTCGCAATGGATTGAAAGTATGATTACGAAATAAAAATCATACTATGTTTCGGTTCGGTTATGTTCGATTTGGATTGGGTTGGATTTACTATTTTTAATAATATATGAATATTTTATTGGTTTTTAAATTTTGGTTTGGTTTTATTTTGTTTTTCTCGATTTCAATCCAGTTAAGTTTAATACGGTTTGGAAGAAATGATACTAAATTTAAATTAAATTACATATGATTAGATTTCGATTCGATTTGATATAGTTTCAGTTCCGTTTGCCAACCCCTAATAAGAATAGTTAAAAAAAAATAGCAACAGAGTAATAGACGTGCCACAAATACTAATTATTATGACTTATCTCACCTGATTGGAATAAGTGAATAACAATGAAGATAATAGGCCCTATTGGGTAGAATATGAATTTAAGTTGGGGCAAAACTTAGTGAAAATTATGGCGGAAACAATTGAATTAGTTGAATTATGAAAAAGTTAATTAAAATGCATTTTATAAACAAAATTTAGAAAAATCAAATGAAAAATACCAGAGATAGTTCACATAGAGATTTTTGGCCAATCCAAGCAGCAAAAGCTGCAAAACAAACCACATATTTAGCTATTGTACAATTTCATCACACAAACGAAAATAAATTCATTTAGTAAAAAATGGTAAAAAGGGGATGTAGCTCAGATGGTAGAGCGCTCGCTTAGCATGCGAGAGGTACGGGGATCGATACCCCGCATCTCCAAATGAGGACTAATTTTTTATCATTTTGCTTCTTCTTTATCTATCTGTATATTTATGCTATTTTTACATTTCTTATATTCTTTTATCTTTTTATCTTTCATCTTTCTTATGTTCTTATATTATTTTTAGGCTAAAGGGTCAAATAGGCCCTCGAAGTCTCGAACTAACTTAAAAGGTGCAATTCACCCCTTATATGAGAGTCTCTGTCCGGCCGTCGTTAATTGGGGTGGTTCCCGGTGGAAATTTTTGATGAAATTTTTTGAGAATCTTCTTTATTAAGTCTAGTCTACTCATATCAAATTTCAGCTAAAAGTTCAATCGGGAAGGCAGTCAAATGAATTTTTGAAGATAAATGTGTAGTTAAACAGCGCAGTACATTTCAGAAAATCATTTGAATGTCTTCCTGGTTGAATTTTTATCTGAAATTTGGTATGGGTAAACTAGACTTAATGAATAAAATGCTAAAAAAAATTCATCAAAAAATTTCACCGGGAATCGCCCCGATTGGTGACGACCGGACAGAGCCTCCTATATAAGGGGTGAATTGAACTTTTTAAGTTAGTTCGAGAGCCTATTTGACCCTTTAGCCTTATTTTAATCTTATATTTACCTTTATCGAATCCATTTTATTTTACTTTATCTTTTTATTTTTCTTACCTTTCTTCTCCTTCTGACTCTAATATATCGGTTCATGTTAGCCGACCCCAAAGTTTTTTGCGAATTAAGCGTGGATGTTGTTGCAGAAAAAAATTGGTAGAGTGATAAACAGAAAGCTAAGTAAAATTTATCAAATGAGCTCCTAATAGTTTAGTACATCTGTTTTTATTATAGTTGCAACTTGCAACAGAGTCGGATCGGAGCAAGTGAAGGGACTTCACCTGCACAATGCCCGAAATGTGGGAGATCCAAAAGAATTCAATTAATTTTTATCATTTTTCTTCTTCTTTACCTTTCTATATATTTATGCTATTTTTACATTTCTTATACTCTTTTATCTTTTTATCTTTCATCTTTCTTATGTTCTTATATTATTTTTATCTTATATTTACCTTTATCATATCCACTTTATTTTACTTTATCTTTTTATTTTTCTTACCTTTCTTCTCCTTTTGACTCTAATATATCGGTTCATGTTAGCTGACCCCAAAGATTTTTGCGAATAAAGCTGGGATGTTGTTGTGGTAAAAAATTGGTAGAGTGATAAACAGAAAACTAAGTAAAATTTATCAAACGAGCTCCTAATACTTTTTCTGTAAGTATTAGTAACTAAATCGTTAACCAAACAACTTACAATATAAGTAAGCTCCTAATATTTTAGTACATCTATTTTTATTATAGTTGCAACTTGCAACAGAGTCGGATCAGAGCAAGTGCAGGGACTCCAACTGCACAATGCCCGAAATGTGGGAGATCCAAAAGAATTCAGTTAATTATTATTAATATAACAATGAAAACTAATTCAGTTATATATAAATATATATATATATTTAAATATATAATATTATATATATATATATAAATATATATATATATATATATATATATATGTATTAATATATATATATATATATATACACACACGCACCTAAATTGATTATTTGGATTTATGAATATAAACAACAACTCAAAACATAAAGAAACAATAAAAAACAAAAAAAAAAATAGAGTTATAAACAAAAAGAAACAATTAGCTGTAAAGCTAACAATAAAACGATAATATTTATTATAAAAAAATGTCTATAAGAAATACTATGTATTACTTTACAAAATTCAATTTTTTCATATTTAATTATTTTTCAAGTTCATTATTTTATTTATTCACATTTTTATTTTCTGAATTTTTATATTATACACTCATTAAAATTACAATAATTTTCTGATATTTATAAATTTTTGAATATATTTTAAGTTTTTCATTATTTATAAACTTAATTTGAAATTTCTTGAATGTTTACAAATTTAATTAATTTATTTTAATATGTATTATTTGAAGTTGTAAATATAACTACTTCTTCAAAAAGGTTTCTAATTAGTTTCATACTACGTATTAGTTGTAAATATAACTACTTCTTCACAAAAGATTATATTAATTAGTTTCTAATTTTACGCATTTATTTATATTTTTTCATTTTTTATTAAACTTCCAATTTATTATATATTTAACATTTTATATTTTTTATATAAATTACATGAACTATTTAGAAATTTACATTACAAAGTCGTATTTTGTACCTTTTTACAATTCCCGCATTTTTAACTGTCTCAAACCTTTTAATGTTAATTTTTGAGATTTTTGTTTCAGGTTTTCTATACGTTTTCTAATTTTTCTGATTAATTTTTTAAAATTTCATTTTATTTAATTTTTTATAATTTAAACTACAATTTTCCATTTTTTTTGGAATTTGTTTTTTATTTTATGTTTTATGTTTTTTTTTAAAAATCAATTCCCTTTTTAAATTTTATTATTTTATAAGCATTATTGTTTATGAGTTAATGAATTTTTCATTTTCTATTTAAAAATAAAGAAATTGAGTGCATGCACATACTTTGCATTACTTTGTGAAAAGGACAGCAGTGCTCAAACCTGACGTTGACTCAGCGTGCTTCATACATGTGAATGGGTCTACTTTTGAAAACAAATTTGTGGTGGTCTGTTTTTGAAAGAAACATTCAAAGATGAAAAAAGTGATATAACTTTCCGTTTTTGAATCTTCGCGAAAAATTCCCTTCTTATTTTCCCCTTACTACCCACATAGCTTACTTCCCGTCGTATCTAACTTCCCCGGTCTCCTTAGGCATCAATTCGAAGAGAAAAGTTACTCCACTATGTATCTTCAAGTTTATTAAAAGCTAAGCATGCTTTTAATAAAATTAAATATTCTTTTCAATCTTTTTTATAAGTCATTATATGAAGAAGTTCAAGTTTTGTGCACTTTTAGATATCATTTTTGGTACTCTAATGTTTGTATTGTAAACGAGTCTCGAGCTTCGAATCTCTTAAACATATTTAGATTAGGAAGAAATGTCAATTAAGGGTTTGGGAGTTTTTTTCTCAAGCGGGATAGGTTGGTTGAGGTGGAAACAGGCCAATTCT